TGATGGAATCTGGAACCCCGTGCAGTCGGACTACGTTATCTACGAACAGCGTCGCGGCTTCCTCTGATGTGACCTTGCCGTGCGTGGGGATGAAGTGTGCTGCTCGAGAAAACTTATCCACTACCACGAAGATGGCGTCGTGACCCCTAACTGTGCGCGGTAAAGCCATGATGAAGTCCATCGTAACTACCTGCCAAGGGCGGTCGGGTGGTGGAATCGGCTGCAAAAGTCCCGCCTTGCGCTGGCGAGAGGACTTCGTACGCTGACACGTGTCGCATGAGCGAATGTAATCCTCTACGTCTGCTGCAAGCCCTGGCCAGAAGTACGTGCGACTAAGCGTCTTAGCCGTCTTATCTGCTCCGAAGTGACCCGCGCTAACTACATCGTGCGCCTCGGAAAGAAGAAGCTGTCGAAGAGGGCGGTAGGCTGGAACCCAAATCCGTGTGGTACCCTTCCGTATGTAGACACTACCCTGCACCTCTGCTCCTGCGGGCGGCTGCGGTGTGAAGTCGGGATCTACTGTGTAACCGTGCTCGAAGAGTGCTGTGAGAAGTGGATGGCCGGCAGTGACTGTGAGACTAGTGAGCTGGCAACTAGGGCGAGTGAGTGGATCTGCTGGGTTGCGAACGCCTGGCTTGTACTCTATCCTGTAGTGGAAACTCCCCTCCATGAACTCCATCCATCTAGCCTGGCGACGACTCAGCTGCGGCTGCAATTTGAGGAAGCGAAGCGAGCAATGGTCCGTGCGTATAACACTATCTGCCCCCTCTAGGTAGCACCTCCACACCTTATACGCATGGATGATCGCGAGCGCCTCCTTGTCGTGAATCGGATAGTTCAGCTCGGCCCCCCTCAGCTTACGCGACTCGTACGCGATCGGCTGCAACCCGCGCCCCTGGTCCTGAAGAAGCACTGCTCCAATGGCTCAATCTGATGCGTCGGTCACTACAACGTACGGGCGAGTGGGATCTGGGTACGACAGTGTCGGTGAAGACGTGAGCGACTGCTTCATCTGCTCGAACGCCTGCTGCTGCGCTGGACCCCAATCGAAATCTACGCCCTTCCGAAGTAGGTCGGTGAGTGGACTAGCGATCGATGCGTAACCCTGAACGAAACGACGGTAGTAATTCGCGAATCCGAGAAAGCTCTGCAACTCCTTGACTGAGGTCGGAGCTATCCAGTCCTGTACTGCTGCGATCTTCTTCGGGTCGGTCCTAATGCCACTAGCAGATACGACGTGACCTAGAAACTCGACTTCGGGGAGAAAGAACTCGCACTTCGACTGCTTAGCGTACAACTGCTCCTTCCGCAAGACCTCGAAGACCTTCTGCAAGTGCTGCACGTGCTCCTCTTTTGTCTTGGAGAAGATCAGGATGTCGTCTAGGTAGACTACTACGAACGAACCTAGGAACTCGGAGAGGACGGTGTTCATGAGCGTCTGAAACGTCGCTGGGGCGTTGGTCAAACCGAACAGTAGAACCCTAAACTCGTACAACCCCTGCTTCGTACGAAATGCCGTCTTGTCCTGATCCTCCGGAACTACTCGAATCTGGTGATATCCTGAACGAAGGTCGATCTTTGAGAAGACTCTAGCGCCATGCACTGCATCTAGGAGATCCTCTACTCTCGGCACTGGGAATCTGTTCTTGACGGTGGCGGCGTTCAGTGCGCGGTAATCTATGCACATCCGTAACCCTCCGTCTTTCTTAGGCGCGAAAAGGATCGGTGCTGCCCAAGGCAATCTAGATGGCTGTATGAACCCCTGCGCTAGAAAGTGCCTAACCTGCTGCATCATCTCCTCTGTCTCTGCTGGACTTAACCTCCACTGCGGCTTCGCTACTGGCCTGCTCCCCGGCTCCAACTCTATTCGATGGTCGACTGCTCGGCTAGGAGGTAACCCTGGGGGCAACTCGTCGGGGAAGACGCCTGCGAACTCTGCTAACAGTGCACTCACCTCAGCAGGAAGAGTCGCCTTCTCACCAACTGCTGCACTCCCTCCTTTTCCCTCCTCAGCTTCCACCTCCTCAAGGAAACCGCGAAGATCTGTGCCGCACGCTTCACCAGCTGCCGCACACGAACAGCATTGATGATAGCTGTGGATGATGTGGCCCCATCACTCCACTGTGGCAGCTCCCGGAACTCCCTGTCTACCTTGACGCTGCAGCTTCCCTGAGCCCAATCGAACTGAGTACTAACCGTCCGTAGCCAATCCCTACCGAAGATGAAGTCATAACCGTCCAACGTCGCAGAGTCGAAGTCACGCCTAACCGTGATTGGTCCTAGCACTACGCGCAACTTGCGGATGACTGGTCCTATGTGGAGAGGCGTCCCATCTACCATACGCGCGTCCTTGAAGTTGACTGTCCAATCTGCTTCGAGATGGAGACGAGAAACTAGCGATGACGAAACGAACGAGTGGCTAGCTCCGCTATCGATGAGAATCTTGACTGGAACACCGCGAAGCTTCCCTAGAAGCACGACTGGACGATCAACAGTGTCTACCTCGTTCGGCGTAGATGATTGCTCTAAGGCCGTCTCCTCTACGTTGGTAGACGTGGCGGGTTCGGAAGCATCCACACCAGCTAGCGACCCGCTATCTACTGGCGGTTTCCGTCTCCCTGCTGCCGCTCCTTAAGCTGTGGGAAGTCCCGCTTCATGTGTCCCGGCTTTTTGCAGTAGTGACAGTTCCCCCTAAATCCCGTTTTCTGTGAGCCGTCACTGTTAACTGCACCAATCTCCATGGGCGATGGTCCGTCCCTCGATCGAGTGTCGGTGATCGGTTTGTATCCCCTATCGCGATCGTCACGACCCCGTCGGCTTCGTACTGCGTCGACGCGTTCTGCTGCTGCGACTACCGACTCGAATGTGGACAATCCGTGAATCTCTATGATCTCCGCTATGTCCGGCTTCAACCCTTCGATGTAGCGATCGCGCATCTCTGCTTCCGTGGTATCGTCTATCTCGTTGCAGATGCTGAAGAACCGTCGTGTGTACTCCTGGACGTTTCCTATCTGTCGAAAATGACGCAGACGCTTCCTAGCAGCTTCGGAGGCATTCACCAAGTCGAACCTACTTTTCAGCGCCGCTTCAAATCCCTCCCATGTCGTCGGAACCGTGGTAACACCCAAAGCTAAACTCCCTAAGCTCGAAGTTGCAGCTGCATGCCCCTCACCCTGTTGATGCCCGTCCAAATGAGCCCTTCTTACAGCAGTTTGCGTGAGTTGGCGCCACCACTCCAAGGCCGGGCCCCTCAGCAGCGTAACGGAGTACTCGATCCGCTGCTGCGCGTCCGCCTCTTGCACCCCGCTTGCGGCGAAGTAGTTGTTCAGCATGAAGATCCACGTCCGCACGTTCGCGTCGCGTTGACTTGGGTCGAACGGCTCGGGCTTCTGCGGCTTGAGCGCGCTTCGACGTTCCGGCAGCGCTTCCGCGCCAGTCGACGTATTGGGTGCAGGAGATGGTGCGGCATGACCATGAGAAATTGACGCGAATTCACGAAGCTGTTGCATTTCAGCCCGTACCTGACGATTTTCCAGCGTCAACGTTTCGAGTTGGCGCATGAGTTGAGCAAGCGTGTTGCCCATGTCGTTGGGGACAGCGGTCATGGTTTCATCCATGTCGGCTCGACGACTCCAAGTCTGCAAGTCGGCACCGCGGGACGATGACGTCGTAGTCTCGTCGTCGACGGTCGCTCGTTGGAAGTCGCTCCCCTCAAAGGCTCTTGATACCAAGTGTTAGGCCCCTTGGCCTAAATCCGCTAAGGAATAGCGGGGTTGACTAAATTGAGGATAAACGCGGCGGAAGACTTTGGCGAAAGAGAGTGTTGGCGAAATAGGCGAAGAGGTAACTGAGTAATTGAAGAGTTGAATGAGAATTGATTGATATTGGGGAATACAAGCAAGGTTGATATAGCATGCAAAGTCGAATGTCGGAAAGTACTTCGTGGGACTAGAATTGTAAGGCAAGAAGAGTAGAGTGCCACGTGGCACTAATCTGGAAAGATAGGATGATGATAAGGTTGGGAAGTACTGTTCTGGATTAACAGTAAACCCCCTGGAACAACTGAGACTAGCACACCAATTTTACCAGTGTGGCTTACATACGTACTGGTAAACTTTGACAGTAATTTTACTACCAGTGTGGCTAGTCTCAGTTGGCTTACATTGACCCTGCACGTATCATTGCGATACACCAGATTAGACTAGTACACCGAATTTTTGAATTATTCTCAGTTTCAGTTGGCTAGCTGTACGTATTTTAAGTCGCAACCTGTACGTATTATTGCGATAGTATTGTGTTAATTACATACACTGGTAAAAATTTGACAATGTAAGCCAACTGAGACTAGTACACCAATTTTATCAATATATTTTCCAATAAAATCTCCAAGAAAAATCTAAAACTTATGTATTGATTAAAGCGCATCATGAGACATGTTGAAATATCCACTATGCATGGGAACGGAGCTTGTATGTAGTATATTCCACTTCATTGCTTTCAGGGTCTACACTCTTTTGCTTATAGCAGATGCGCCAACGGTGCAGCATTCTCTTGAATTCTCTGGACTGTTGTGGAGCCAGTAAGTTGACGAGTCAAACGGGCCCAGTCAGCTATTCTCAAGGTTGCGATGACGAGGGTCAGCGCACTTCTGAATCCGTCGTCAAGCAATTTCTCCAACTCAGGATCGCAGCGCTCGCAGAAAGTTTTCAGAAAGCTTGCGAGTTTCGTGAGCTCAGCTTGGAGCCTTTCGCCCACCTTTGTTTCCCGAAAGACCTGTTATGTGCTGTCGCCGATTTTCGCGGTACGATTTCTCTCCGTCCAGTTTTGCTGAGGGCACTCCACGAAGATAAATTGAACGGAATGCAGACATCAAACACAACACAGAGAGACAGCAGCAGACATTCTACGGTTCCTAGAAATAGAATTGCTTGCAGCACATTTTTCCAACGACAAGGTGTGACACTTCGCTGAAGTTTCTCAGCTGCTATTCTCCCTTCGCGATGCATCGACGCAAGGCGATATCGCCTGCAAGTATAGCAGACAGCAGCGGCGTGATTCTTCTACTGCTGCTGGGCTCTGCGCTGCTCAGCTTCCCAAGCGCCACAGACGGCGCGAGACACACGACGCTTCGGTCGCAGGGAGTGGTATCGAGCAGCCGGACCATAGCGCACACAATCTGGACGTCAGGAAGCACGTTCCTTCGCGGCAATGTCAACCGCGACGGGAAAAGGACCAACACTGGCAGCACTGCAGTTGGCGCTACAACCGCCACTGCTGGCGCCGCGGCTACAACCGCTGCTGCTGGGTCCGCCGCTGCTAACACCGCAGCTACGGGATCGGGGTGCGCAGCGTCGGCGCTGGAGGGTTTCACGTGGTCGGCGGCGCTGGGGTCCACTGGACTCACGCTGCATTGGCGCGCAGTGGACGCGTCGCGCCTCGCCTTGGCGCTGGAAGCGGCGGGCGGCAGCGCGGCGGCGGCGGGGTGGTTCTCCGTGGGGTGGTCGGCGACGGGCCGCATGGCGGCGTCCGACGCCGTGGTGGGCAATCTGGCGGGCGGCGCCGTCAAGGCGGTGTACATGAGCGGCACGGCGGAGAGCGACGTTCAGCCCACAAGCAGCTTCGATATTGGGAACGCGGAGCTTGCCACGTCACCCTCTGGATCCACAATTCTCAAGTACGCAGCGGCGGTGGTTTGGGGTGTTGCGGTTCCTGTCCTCGGGAAAGTATAGGGTTTGGGGTTCTGGGTAATGCTTGTCAGTTTCAGGTTTGCTTTCCTTTCTCTTTCAATGTCTCTTTTCTCTCTGACACTCGGCCTCACACACCCTCTCCACCCCCCTCCCCACTCCTCCTTTCCCCTCTCGTGTGCAGGTTCAACCGCTCGGCGGGAGACGGGTCGGTGGCGGTGAGCGTGCAGGGAAGCAACACGCTCGTGTGGGCGCACTCTAGCGACGGCTCGCAGACGCTCGGCTTCCACGGCGACTATGAGTGAGTGCGGTCCCTCATGGCTTCATCTACTTCCTCGCAACTTCCGTTTTTCCTTTACATCCACCACTAGGTGATAATTCTCGTGCTCCTGCTTTACTGTTTCCCCCTCCGCCTCTTCCATTCTCGACCCACACTCTCTCCATCTCTCCCTTTCTCTCCCTTCTTTCCCCTCTCTCCCTCTCCCCCTCTCTCTCCCTCTCCCAATTCCCTTCTCTTCCCCACTCTCCCTCTGGCCTCATTTTCATCTTTCTTTCTCTGCCCCCTTTCTCCCCCTCTCTCCTCCCAGTGGCGCGCTGCAAGTGAACTTCGCGTGCTCCTCTGCCTCGTCCGGAGGGGGAGGGGGTGGCGGCACTGGTGGGGGCACGGGGGGAGGCACTGGCGGGAACAATGGGGGGGGTAATTACGGTGGTGGTAATGGCGGTGGTGATAATAACGGGGGGAATGGAGGGGACTACAACGCTGGAGGTGACAATAACGGGGGGAGCGGGGGAGACTATGGGGGTGGCAACGGCGGGGGGAGTGGTGGTGGCGGAGGGAGCAGTGGTGGGGGCGCAGGAGGCGGAGGAAGGGGAGGCGGTGGGGGGGACTGCAGGGGAGGGCCTGTGGGCGGTCGTGGGGGACCTGGTGGGGGACAGGGGGGGCCTGGGGGCGGTCAGGGCGGACCTGGGGACGGGCAAGGGGGTGGTGGTGGGGGGCAGGGGGGATTTGGGGGCGGGCAGGGCGGTTCTGTTGGAGGACAGGGCGGACCTGGGGCCGGGCAGGGGGGATCTGGGGGCGGCTATGGTGGCGACTACAGCAATGGGGGGAGCTACAGCGGCGGTAATGGCGGAGGCAACGCAGGCGGAGGTGGTTACTACAGCGCTGGAGGAGGAGGCGGGGCTGGTGGCGCCGCTGGTGGCGCTGGGGGTGCTGGTGGTGGGGGCTGTGGGGGAGGGCAAGGGCAAGGCGGGGGACCTGGGGGACAGGGCGGACCTGGGGGTGGACAGGGCGGAGCTGGGGGGGATTATGGTGGGGGGAGCAACGGCGGGGACTATGGGGCTGGTAATGGCGGTGGTGACTATAGCGGGGGGAATGGAGGGGACTACAACACTGGTGGTGACTACAGCGGGGGGAACACTGGAGGGGGCTATAGTGGCGGCAATGGAGGTGACTATAACGGTGGGAGCAATAGCGGTGACTATAATGGAGGGAGCTACAGTGGGGACTATAGCGGAGGGACGGGCGGCAGTCAGGGAGGCTCATCTGGAGGCGGTATGAGTGGCGGGGGAGGCATGGGCGGGGGAGGCATGGGCGGTGGTGCTGCTGGCGGTGGTGCTACTGGCGGTGGAATGGGCGGGCCTGGGGGAATGACTGGCGGAGGGGGCGTGGGAGGAGGAGGCATGGGAGGTGGAGGCATGGGAGGTGGAGGCATGGGAGGTGGAGGCATGGGAGGAGGAGGCATGGGGGGAGGAGGCATGGGAGGAGGAGGCATGGGAGGAGGAGGCATGGGAGGTGGAGGCATGGGAGGAGGAGGCATGGGGGGAGGAGGCATGGGAGGAGGAGGCATGGGAGGAGGAGGCATGGGAGGAGGAGGCATGGGAGGAGGAGGCATGGGAGGAGGAGGCATGGGAGGAGGAGGCATGGGAGGAGGAGGCATGGGAGGAGGCAGGCCTTAGTGGTCTTGGTTGCAGGCAGCCATGCAGGCATGCATGCAAACACGTGCCCCAAGCACTTGTCAATTGTCACTCAAGGCAGGTACAGGCGGACGATAGGGACAAGGGAAGGGAAGGGACGATAGGCACAGCGGTGTGGTCACTGAATGGATGAGCTTTGATTCACCTCAAGCCCTACCACTCCTGAGGTGCATCAAAGCTCAACCACAACTCAAGGCTGGTTGCTGATTCTTGTTCTAGATGGTTTCCTGTTGTAGATGTGGAGCTGGCGATGCAATGCATCTTCAATGGTGCACTGCTCCCGAATGTTTGCAATGCATGTTTGTAATTCCGGTGTAAACAAGCATTATCCTATTATGTTTGCAAGCCGTTGTTGCACCGGTGCCTTCGTTTCAGCGCTAGCAACACGTTGCTAGCATGAGACACAAGCTGCATAAACATCCATAACTCAGTGCGGTACCATGAACATCTACAGTACCATACACTTCAAAGCAGTTACATTTAGGTACCAATAACCTCCATGCATCTCGCTTATCAAGTGCGGTGCAAGGGCCACACCGGCACCATGCAACCAGGTGGTCACGTACAGGCCACTGCAGGAGTGACCCCTCCTCAAAAGCTGCTACACTTACCAATGACCCCCATGCATCTTGCTTATTTGTGCAGCGCTTGGGCCACCACACTGGCGGCATGCAACCAGCTGGTCACTCACAGGCCACAGCAGGAGTGACCGTAACCAGCTGCAGAAGCTGCTGCAAATGCATTTATTCAGGCAAGGAGGGTCCCTTCCGAAGGCTTAGATGCCATTCTCAGTGGCCTGCATTTGTCGTTGTGGCTCAGCCACTACCTGTCGCCCTCTATAGAAGCCCTTTGGTGTGGGACTGCTGCGCCCTTTTCAGTTCACCTAGGCAAAGAGGTGATCATATAAGACGAGGCACACCAAACCATCTCGTCCCGCTAGAATCTCATCGCCTGCCCTGTCCATTTGCGTTTTGCTCTCACTCACTCGTCTCGGAATCGCACCCTCTCGTTGCGTGGCTTGAACACCTTTATCCCCTCTAAGAGCTCCCCCGACAGCCACTTCCACTTGCTCTCGTCGTCCAAGTATCCGATACAGTAATAAGTACACTCCGGCTGGTTGGGAACCTCGTCTTTTGTGCCGCACCAGGGCGGCCACACGGCCGGCGCCTTTTGTCTCAAGTGCCGGGCTGGGCTTTTCAACGTCGGCTTGAGTTGGAGGGAAGGAGCAGGAGTGGAGAGGCGGAGCTGTGATGCCGGCGCTGTTCTCTAGGGCACTGGTTGAGTACTTGGCGAGGAGAATGGCCCAGAAAAGCCGCCGCCCCTCCCATGTGCAGAGAGTGCTGCAGGGAGGAGAAGGATAAGAGAGGTAACAGGGGGGGAAAGACATGAGAGAATGGTTGTGAGAGGGGGGGAACGACCCAGGGGCATCAGGGGAGGCGGAGCTGTGATGCTGGCTCTGTCCCCTAAGGCACTGTGGTACTTGGCGAGCAAAATGGCCCAGAATATCTGGCGCCCCTCCCACGTGCACAGGGTGCTGCAGGATGGGAGTGGGATGAGAGAGGAGGGATGAGAGAGGAGGGATGAGAGAGGAGGGATGAGAGAGGAGGGATGAGAGAGGAGGGACGAGAGAGGAGGGATGAGAGAGGAGGGATGAGAGAGGAGGGATGAGAGAGGAGGGATGAGAGAGGAGGGATGAGAGAGGAGGGATGAGAGAGGAGGATGAGAGAGCAGGGATGAGAGAGCAGGGATGAGAGAGCAGGGATGAGAGAGCAGGGATGAGAGAGCAGGGATGAGAGAGCAGGGATGAGAGAGCAGGGATGAGAGAGGAAACACGTGTGGGAGAATTGAGGGAAATTTTGTGAACGAGGGGGAATGGTGCGGGGAGAAACTGCAATGAACCGGGCAAAGTTAGTTGCAGGAAGGAGAGGGTGTGTGGGGGAGGGGAAGGGAGGGGCAAGGAGACTGAGAAGACAACAGGGATGGAGGGGAGGAAAACGGCCCCTATCACTGCATGTTGGTAAATGGGCGACTTACCTGGCAAAGTCATTCGCGGCAGCAACAATCTCCCGTGCTTGTTGGTCATTGGCGTGGGCCCATTGGATTTGCGCGTAGAGGTTGTTGAAGTAGCGGTGGGTGGGCAGGAAGTGCTTCATGGGGCACAGCAGTGGGTCGAAATACTGATAGTACTCGCTCGCCTGGCGGATCATACCTGTGCATACGATAAGAGTTGGGAGGGGTGGCGGAAGAGGGAGTAGAATAGTGGGTGTGGAGGTTGATGAAGAGGCGGTGGGTGGGGAGAAAGTGCGTCATGGGGCACAGCAGCGGGTCAAAGAACTGATAGTACTCGCTCGCCTGGCGGATAAGCACCTGTGGATATGAGTGAGAAAGGAACGGGAAGAGAAGAGATGCGTCCCTATTGAACATGAAGGGAGAGATTTTGCAGGTATGTGTGTCGGGGGAGGGTGGTAAGGGAAGGAGTGAGTAAGCATGCAGGAGAGAGAGGGGAGGATGCTTTAGAAAGGGTAAGCAAGAGGCTCACCACCACACGAGGCCCACCACCACAAGAGGTCATACCTGGTTGCTCGCCAAAATCCCACATGTCCGGCCGCTCCCCGTGCCGCCATCCACATCAAGCTCATACTTAAACCCCTGGAGCTCCTCGGGCTTTAATCTCCCGCCCAGCCGCACCCCATCCGCCTCCATGCTCTCACGCCATCTCACATCCACGCCGCTCATGACACGTGCGTCTAACAGGTCTGGGCGGGCGTCTACCATGCGGTGCACGCGGAAGCGAGGGCTCGAGCGCCAGTGCATGGTCATGGCGATGTGGTAGTTTGTCATCCCGCCTCGGAACACCGCCCGGCCCTGCTTTTGCTCCCAAGGGACCTGAGGTGTGGGGGGGGAGGAAGGGGGAGGAAGTTTGTTAGATGAGGCTCTGATTTGTTTTTTGCATGGATATGAAGCAATTGGAGACGGGGTGATTGGTTGGAAACTGCACAAATTTTACCATGTTGCGGAAGTATCAAGTGTTTTTGTCCAGTATACTCACCTGAACTGTAAAGCGGAATCGGAGTAGCGAGTATCTAGGTTTCAGGGAACGACATGGGAAAGAACTGACAGATCTGTGCACGAATCTTCAATTTCACTTCAATTCCGCGCACCTACCGGCGCACAATAAGTTCGCACGCACCTTATCCTCAACGTCTCGAAAGTAGCTCTTGGACAGATCGACGGGGTCGGGGTAGGGAATATCGAGGGATCCCGGGACAACGTGCGGACTGAACAAAGGCATTCCCGCGCGATCCGCCCGCGCGACCGAGTCCGCCTTGCTGGTTGGCAGATCGCATGTGTTTATAAACAGCTCCGCGTTCAGGTTGTACAGTTTGTACGCGCTAATAGCGTCCTGGATCATTTTGACGGTGAAGACGAATCGGCGCATGCGGTACCAGTCGAACTGGAAGGCCCCCAGGCGGAAGTAAACCTTTCCGCGCACGATCCGGATGTGCCCGGAGCACGAGAGAATCTGATACGACGAATGGGAGGGTAGAAGTAGGGGATGGTAACAAATGAAACGGGATGAGACGCGGGGACGAATGTAAGGAGAGGAGGGTGTGGCGGAAAGCGGAATGAGAACATCCTAATTAGAGTGTTCGAGAACAGATAGCGTTATGAGAACCGACTTCCGAAACTCGCCACCCGTATGCTCCCGATCGCCCTCGCATACATCGGCCATGGTCCCCATTTGGTGCAGAATCTCCGCGGATATCATTCCCCGCGCGCCCATGCCCGCGGTGACGCCCGGAATGCCCATCCAGGGGCGCAGGTAGTTGTGCGCCAGGCACGCCAACTTCCGCACGGTGGCGGAACCGCTGCGCGCGCTCAGTGCGGGGAACCCCGCCAAGTCCGCCACGCACTCGTCCGCGTCTGCGCGCGTGTCGGGGAAGCCGCACGAGCCCTGCCCCGACTCAAACACGCGGGGGAAGGCGGAGGAGGGGAATCCAGCAGCGGCGGCGGAAGCGCCGTCCTCCCTGGTAGAGTCTCCGCGGCTGTGGTCGGCGCTGCTGTCGGCGCTTTTCAGCCGCGAATGGCGGCGGTAGGAAGGGACAGCAGGATTGACGTCTCGTCGGACTGAAAGTGCTCTAATCGCCTTCGAGGGTTGTCGTCAGACTGAAGGAAAGTCGGGGGCTCGGGGAGAGGAAAAGCGAGGGTTGTGAAAACAAAGGAGACGGCGACGAGCCAAGAGAAGGTGACGGTGGAGCTACTAGGCGGGAAAACACGTGGAAGACACGTGCACTCGAAATGATTGAGACGCGACGATGGGAGAACGCGAGCGGGACAAATAGGGAGAATGTGGGACTGCGGGACTCGACCACAGTCAACCAACGAGCGACCTCGAAAGCTCTACTACTAGAGTCGGTGAAATAAACCTTTCCTGTAAAGTGATATAGTGCTGCTAGCGGAGCTGCTCAAACACTCGAGTGCGCTCTCCACGGTGGAGCGGTACAGCTCGTTATGAGGCGCCTATTTTCTAGGAGTCGGCGCCCAAAAAAAAGGCTCAAGGGCGCTCACCGTGTCTGTGGAGCAGTACAGCTCGCCGAGCTGCTGCCCGAGCGACCCTCGAGTGTGCGACGCGCGAGAGAGCGAGGTGCTCAAAGGCTCGAGAGCGCTCACCGTGCCTGTGAAGCGATACAGCTCGCCGAGCTGTTGCCCGAGATGCTGCTCAAGCTGCTGCCCGAGCGACCCTCGCCAGTGCGACGCGGAGAGCGATAGCCATAGCAGCAGCGTCACTGGCACTAGCGCAGGCACTATTCGCGACATACTCCGCCCCGTTAAGCGTGGCGGTGGGCAGGGCCGTCGCATGATGCTTGCTGTAGACGCTCAATTACGCGGCAATGCGCCTATCCGCTCCGGGCGGGGCTTCGAAATTGGAGGAGGTAGTAACAGTGTGAGAGGGCGAGCCGAGCTCGTTCAACGTAAAAGAATTTCTTCCAACTGTCCGGGGAGCCTTGAATTTGTGCCTATAGGTCGCACGAAGCGAACTAGTACGACGTGGGGGCTACAAGCATTTTTTGTGAGGTGCCGATGGCCATGCTTGCGTGAAGGAGGTCCTTGCTCCTCATCAGCGCAGCGTCAGCAGGGACTGAGAATTTCCTTTCTTTCTCGTGATTTATTCGCGAAATACTCGAGTGTGGTTGCATCCGGTGAGACACACAGGTCGTTACGCCTCTGCGAACAGTGCGGAGGCACTAATATTTCGTCGCGTCTCCACTTCGTGGTGCAACACTTTTGTTCGCCGTATTTTCGCAACAGAGCATGTTTTCGCACATCTTTGCCTTGCGTCGCCCACAGCGACAGCTTGATCAGGTGAAAATACCAACTCCAACGAGAGGAAGACATGTGGTTGGCTTTATGGGGGATTGGCTGGCGATTCAGGTGTTGGCGTTGTGAGGAGCGCCAGCTCCTGGCCACACTTCCCACCCTCACTCCACACCTCCACAACCTACCTTCACTAAACGACTACGCGATTGCAGTAGAAAGGTGGGATCAGCTTCCCCTCTGCATCTGTTTGTTATGTATAGCACTGTATGTTTTACAGAGACCTCCTTCTTGGTTGACAATAAATCTTTAACATAATTCACTTGTGCCTCCAGTTTGTATGTCGATTACAGGAACATGGTGGATTTTCACTAATATCTGTTCAAGTTGCCATGTACAGTTGGGAGGAAATGTTATAATGAGCTAGCCAAAATAGGCATAAACTGTGTGGAAAGGCAGCATGTATTGATTGCGTTACCTTGCGTACATCTGTACTTGTGCCGTGCCTGGGTCAGTGGGTGGTTATTATTTTTAAGCTTGGACAGTAGTCTTGTGGCAAGCTTCGTTATAATAGCAATTGAGATTTGACAATGTTTTGTGATATTTGTACCGTAGTTGCAATCTATAGTTATTTACACGTGATGTTACGCATACACAAACCAGAATATCATTAGCATTTATTAGCTGATGCTCTGCCAGCTTGCTCACATATATGGGAAATTGATGTGCTTGTTGCGAGGTTTGTACACCTCAATCCCATAGAGCGAATCTACAGTTAGCCGCTTCCACTTTCTCTCGTCCTCCAGAGGCCCTATGCAATAATGAGTACAAGGTGGACGGCGCTTTGCACGTAAACTGTGGCGGCTGCGTGATGTTGCGGTTGTCCTCTAATGCAGACACCGAGTATAGTCTCCTACCGTCGAATGTGCACACGTCACTGTATTGAGTGTGGGGGAATGGAAAGGAGGGAAGAGAGAAATGAGGTAGTGTGTATGGAACCATCAAGGATGTGTGTGTGTGTGTGTGTGTGTGTGTGTGCGTGCGTGCGTGTGTGCGTGCGTGCGTGCGTGCGTGCATGCGTGTGTGTGTGTGTGTGTGTGTGTGTGTGTGTGTGTACGCGAGTTCGTGCGTATGCTTGTGAATGTACATGTGTGAGAACGTTTGTGCAAGTGTATGTGTATGTGTATGTATATGTGTATGTGTATGTGTATGTGTATTTGCATTTGTGTGAGACAACAACACCCACCTTGCGAGCTCGTTCGCTTGCCGAATAATCCTCCTCGCCTCGCCATCATTCCTCCTCGCCCACTGAATCTGCCCGAACAGGTCCAGAAGAAGCGCTGCGTGGGCAGGATGTGCCGGTACGGGCACATGAGCTGGTCGAAGAACTGGGTGTATTCGCTGGCCTGCTTGATCAACATCTGACTGCTCGATAGCACGCCGCATACACGCTCGCTGCCCATTCATCTGTCCACGTCCAATTCATATTTGTAGTGTTGGAGTTCGGATGGGCCTAGGCGGTTACCGAATGAGATGGCATCTTGCCGGAGACTTCAGGGAGAACAGGGGTGCAAGAGGGGGGGAGGGGAAAGCGAGAGACAAGGGGAGAGGAGCAGGATGAAGGGGTGGAAAGGGATGGGTGTCGAAAAACTAGGAGACTCACTGGCCTGCTTGGTCGCCATCTAGCTGCTCCCCTACACGCGCCTGCTGTCTGTACCGCCGTCCACGTCCAGCTCGTATTTGTTGCTTTGCAGTTCTGCCGGTCCCAGGCATTTACCAAATGATATGGAGTCTTGGCGGAGACTGCAAGGAGAGGGATCAAAACCGGGAAAGGTGGGGAGGGAAGAGGGAGGGATGGAAGGGGAAGGAGAGGAGGGAAGGGGGGGTTGGGGGGGAAGATGGGTAACGGAGAGGAGGGTGCCACCGCTGCATTGCTAGGTGACTTTTGAGTCGAAACAAAAGTCACCTCCGAGAAGAGGGTGCCACCGCTGCATTGCTTCCATCCAAGTGAAGCTCGTACTTGTTGTAGCTCTACCAGCTCGATGGGGTCCCACTCGGAGATTGTATGTGTCAAATCGTGGTGGCGACTGCAGGGAGGTGAATTTTGAGTCGATCAGGAGTCACCTTGTTTTGAGTCGACTCAAAAGTTGCTTTGTATGTGTCGAATCGTGGCGGCGACTGCAGGGAAGATGAGGGTGGGGGGGCAAGAGGGAGGGGAATCCGTAGTGATGGGGAAAGCAGGAGGGAGGGGAAAAGCAAGGATGAGGAAGGGGCGACGATGATGTGAGGAGAGGGGAGGGGAAGCGAGGGGAGGCGAAGGGAGATGAGGGGGGGAGCGATGAGGGGAGGAGATGGGGACGTGGGGGAAGAGGGTAGGGAAGAGGGGAGCGACTTGGCCAGGATGAACGGCACTGGTCAATAATAATATGCTCAAGAGTGTTGCTAGCAGACAGGAATGCAAGAAAAGGTCAGTTTGGATTATTGGAGTGTAAATATAGAAGCGTACCAAATTCGTACTGCTAAGTTGGTAAGCCAAACAGGAGCGTTCAGGTTTCATCACTCACCCTACACGGTATTCAGGGTCCACTCCCCACACTACCCTGGCATCCAGCAAGTCTGGCCGAACATCCAACATCCTGGATGGGGATCGATGCAAATGAGGCAGTGAATGGCGGAACAGATAGGGGAGGGTGGAGAGTTGGGGATGAGAGTGAAAGTAGAGAGTAATCATGGTGCGTGTTGAGTGTATTCATGGTGCTGCAAAGCACGGTCCCATGTGTTGCCATCTGGTGCCATGTGGTGCCATGTGGTGCCATGTGATACAATTGGAACTCACACAAGACAAGATCACACAATACCACCTCACCTGTGCACGCGGAATAGAGATGCACCAACACGTACCAATCATATTTTCGGCCTGAGCAATGGCAATTTTTTTTTTAAACGACTGCCCTTTCTCATGATATCCAACTTGTCCATTTTCTGTTCACGTAGCATGTGCCATCACAAATCAGTTCGGGCTCACCTCATCTTCGGCTTCCCGGAAGTAGTTGCTGTTGAGGTCGACGGGATAAAGAATGTTGCCATCCAATGCTGCCCGACGCACCGTCCACGCTGAAAATGGGAAGCCTCGCTAGCGGCTTCGCGACGCTGCTGCATTTGCTAATGTACATGTCGCATGTATTGAGGAAGAATTCCGCGTTCAGGTTGTGTAGCTTGTATTCGCGTATCCCATCCTGGTTTGTATAACGGGGACAAGCAACATGTTTCAAAGATTGAGTTTTGGAAGATGAGGAGATTGATAAGCAGGTTCTGGTTGGCTGGATGGATATGAGATGACGTGCTAGTAAGGTTTGTGAACATGGCACATAACTTTGTTCAAATGCGAATGGTGTCTGCATAAAAGCACTGTCTCCTTGGCACGCTGACATGTCCCCGCTATAGAATCTACCGCATCCCGCGATTTTCACTCGTGCTGACGGAGAAGACGAATCGCCAGAGGCGGTACCAGTCGAACTCGAATTGCCAAATCGGAAATATATATTTCTCGCGAACGACGCGCACGTGGCCCGCGCTCGACAGCACCTGCGCACAGCCATTAGCGCAACCCCGAAGGAACGAGGCGTTAAGTGGAAATGATCCAGGAAGGGGTGAGCAGCGGGACCGGGAATCAGGGCCTATGTTATCAGGGTAATTACCCTGTTTTGACTTCAATTACAATGTTATTTTTAGACGAACCCTGATTTTCACTAGGTGATTTTTGGACCAGCCCGTACAGCTGAAGGGTGATTCTTGAGGGAACACGGATCCCTCCGGGGAGTTCTCTAGGGGCCCCGGATAGTTTTAGCAACACTTCTTCTCCCTTACCTGCTTCGCATCCCCCTCCCTCACCCTCCCCCTGTGTACTTCGTGTGGGCCACTTTTAGTGGAATTTTCTTACCATTCACTCCTTGGTTGCCCCGTTCTACGTCGCCATGGCTTATAGCACTCCTTCACATGGGATTTTCTCTAAGTCTACAAAAAAGTCTCTCTCCTACACCTCTAGAGTCGCCCCTTCATCTCCAACCAGCACTCGTGCACACTGTGATAATGTCGACCATTTTCCCCATCCCGCGAAATTCAAGTAATGTAGGTTTCAGGCCTTTTCTGGCTCGAACCCGGATTCGTGGAGGTTTCCTTTTTTGCTGGCTAAGATTTTACAGGGTCTTTTTCAAAAGGGCCCGGATCGTCCGAGCTAGCAAAAAACCTAGCAATAGCCTCGCCGGGAATGTGATGCAGACATGAGGGTGTAGAGGGGGGAAGGTAGGGTGGGGGTGTGGCGAGGAGAGGGAGGAGGGTGGTGGGGGCAGGGGTGAGAGATCATAAGGCAAGCGTGGACCCATACAGGAACTGAACTAAGGGTGGAGAAAATGGGAATCCAGAAGAACCAGGGGGGTGTCGTGGGGGTCCGCAATGGGAATTTGGGGTGGGTCGGCGGGGGGAGCGGGGGAAGGGAAACGAGGTGTGGGGATGTGTGGGACAGGAGCGCGGAGAGGACCATGCTGAATTCGATTCTCACGTTCGCGATGGTGCCCATCTGCTGTAGCATCGCGGGGTTTATCATTCCCCGCGGAGAAGATCGGGGCAAAGGGGATGTGTGTGGGTGAGACTGTGCGAAATTTGTTACTCACATTCGCCATCATGCCCATTTGCTGCATCATCGCTAGATTGATCATTCTCCGTGCGGAAGAGCGGGGAAAGGGGAGGAGTGGGGGGGGGGGGGGGGGGGGGGGGATGTGCTAGATTACTCACGTTCGCCATCGTGCCCATTTCCTGCAACATCTCATGATTGATCATTCCCCGTGCACCCATGCCCGCGGTGACGCCCCGAATGCCCATCGGCGCAGGTAGTTGTGCGCCAGGCACGCCAGCTTCCCGCTGGCGGAACCGCTGCGCGCGCTCAGCACGGGGAACTCCGCTAGGTCCGCCACGCACTCGTCCGCGTCCGCGCGCATGTCGGGAAAGCCGCACGAGCCCTGCCCTGCCTCAAACACTCCGGTAGCACAAGCGAGGATAGACGGGGGGAGGGAAAAGGGGAGCGAAATGGGGAGAAAAGCAGGCGCACGGCCGAAAAATATCAGCGGGGGCAGCGAGAGGCAACGTGAAACGAACTTCCGGGACGATGGCGTTTGAGATTCCAGTCGACGAAGGCATAGAATGATGGTGAGGGAAAGGAGCTAGTTGTGGGAGCTAACGCAGTGACCGACTTAGATGTGAGTTGTCTTGATCAGTATTAGCAGGATTGCGGGTTAGGAGAGGGGTCGATTGCTAATCGATTGTGAGGGCGTCGATTGCCACATTGACTGAATTGGTTTCGTTGCAGAGCTCGTCTGTTGTGGAGAGACATCCTTTATTTCTCTTGGTGGCAAGGCAAGAGATGGTCCTAGTAGTTGCACAACAATGGTGCTCAAAACTGAAAGATTGACGACGATCCCGTACTAGGTTTACCTCGTGAGTCGGTTTACCTTGTGCGTCATTTTTGGGGGCGAAGTAATCAACCATAAAATGTGAAGTGTGCTTGGTGGTCGGTGAAAACTCAAATCGCCTAGCAAAGCATGCCGCATTTGCGAAATTTCGAGTGCAAGAATGACGAAACAGTGTGCAAAGATTACCAGATGAAAATTTGGCGACTAGCACGAGCATGTCTCGTGATCCAAAGGTATCCACACGCAAATCATTAGGCGAAACGTGTCAGAGGTGCACTGACACTCTTTTGCAACAACATTTGCGAAACCAGAATATCAACTTTAAATGGTGGTGGAATGATGTTGGTGATGTAATTCTCCTGAAAGTAAGATGGCACATAAACCACACTTGCTCAGGCTGTGAGGCAGGCTGTGAGCCCACACTCTGGGAGGAGAATGAGAGCTTGTTGACGGGCTTAGAACAAATTTCAAATCAATAGCACATTCTTCACATTTGGCTATTTTCTCTATATTACGGTGTCTTGAAACTTCATTGCACATACTATCCATTAGTGTATATTGGTGAGAGCAAGTGAAGTTTACGGCATTGAGATGCTTGCTATGCTATTCGCGAGGAGCAGACAACCATATTCGTAAATATCTAGACATTTTCGATGATGAACCGTTTGTTGAACTAGAACGTTAGTACCTAAATAAATTATCGGATTACCACGCTGATCGAGTGTTTGATTTATAATTCCATTATTTAGTTACCTTTTTGTTAATTGGGGGTGTTATAGGCCGATTTAATTTGAAATAAAAATTTAGACTGATGCTGAATATTTTCATGAGACAATAGACATTGGCCTAAAATGCCTAAGGTATGCGTAACCTGGCCGGAAATGTGAGGGCGTGTCTGAAGTGCAAACGTCGAGTTTCGTCAATTTTCGTCGACGAAACTCATCCGTGGGTCCCACGCGGCTTGCTGTCTGAAGTGCAGCTCGACATCCGTTGACGAAACTCGGCGTTCGTAGAGTCGTCGGTGGATGTCTAACAGTACTAAAGGTCAGGTTTTGTAGTTACTGTTGCCATCTTGGGCACCCAAAATTTCGTGAGCCACGTCAGGTCAACAATGATCCACTCGATCTCAGTCACACCAGTCAATGACAGCAAATTTCACATTCATCAACAGTCTAGTGAATGACGAAATCCACGACAGAAGCAGGTGCCTTTTCATATTTGCTTCCACGTTGGAGGATTTCGGGCAGTGGAAACAGTGGCGAAATTGGCACGGGTTGCTTTTTTGTCGTTTGGGTGTCTGAAGTGCAAAAACGAAAACACGGATGTCAAGAATCGTCAACTTTCGTCGGAATTCGTCGACCAAACTTTCGTCATCGGACGTCGAGATTCACTTCAGACACGCCCTTAGGCCTTTTGTTGGGCGTTTGTCCTTGTACAGGTGATGCCCACCCCATGCACGCGAATTTGCTCTGCACCGGATGGAAACGCTGCACCCGAGGTTTTTTTCCCAGCCTGTTGCACCCACGGTACAAGCGCGTCGCGTAGTTATGAACCAATTGTAACGAACAGATCGAAGTCAAACTGAAGAGACTGAAGTCAAAATATCAACGGATAAGGTTACAGATCCTTTTATAAGCACCTGCGAATGCTTTTTAGCTAGCTGCGAATTGACGAAACTTATGCGAAATGCACGACACAGCTTATACGCCCCCTTCACAAGGCAACCGGGAGGGGCTCAATCAGGCATCATGTGTAGCAACACGCTTGAAAGCCACGCGCACTGTACTGTATCGTGCATGCCGGTTGGAGATATTTTGTTTTCCCAAGATTGCGAAGAATTTCCGCCAAGGATGTCCCCCATACACGATTGAGGTCAGCATGAGACAGCTCCCTACCTACACGTCGGTTCCACACACAGCATCAAGTCCTCCAATGCGAGCGTGCCAACTGTGAAGACTGGTTCAGGCGGCTGACGACGGTCAGTCAGTGGATCTTGTCGTTCCCGACAGTGGATTCGTCAGTCACCCTGGGCTTCACCCCGCCGTCCCTCCCCACACCCACCGCTCTGTCAACCGTCTGTCCATTGTAACCGCACAATTGCGGAGAGGAGTCTGCAGCTGTAGTCCACTTGTGCACTGCTCACTTGCTCCCTCCACCCGAACCTAGGTTCCTTACCTTAGCTCTGCCACATTCTGGTTCGGAATTCGGACCACGTGTCTGCTCTGCTACTTGTTTAGCATGCAGATTTCTCCCGATCAGCCCTCCCCAGCTCGGCACGCCCTGCCCTGCCCTGCCCTGACCACTACACAAGCCCCTTGGTCCGAACCGAAGCCAGAAGCCCGAAGCACAAGCACCACACAAGCTCCCCCTTCCAAGCTCCTGCTGGTGACCTGCAGCGGACTTCACCACAATCACCATGGTTCCCTTCCCCCTCACTTCCCGCTTACAACTCCCCTTTCCCCCCCATACAACTCCACATTCGAACATTTGAACCCTCGAGATTTGGCAAATGTATACCGAAGTCATCGAATGTGCTTCCGCCAATTCGTTTCCCCCCTCCCCATACCTATTCCGCTCCCACCGAAATTGTTTCCCCTTCCCCCACAATATCGTCTCACCCCCTTTCCCCTTTCCGCCAACCCAGTTGCCCTCCCCTTGATCCCCAATTTCTAGATCCAAGTGTTATCAATTTCTCCCCTGCCAAGCCTCATCTCTCACGGACGAAAAGCCCCATGCTCGCCCATTCTCAACTATTTATTCGCTACTCGTCAACCAATCAGCAGTTCCCGCAAACATGCCGCCCAAAATTTAGCCTGGAGTCGCGTTGAATGTGTACCCTGGTTTTAAGTGTAGTTTAAAGCCGGCGGCCCAAATTGTTCATGCTTTTAAAAGTTGACCAGAGGGAGTTTTTCTGGTGTGGGCTTTGGCGAGAGTTTCCGATTTCGTCTAGGTTCGTTTTTTTCGCGAGACCCAGCCAACCCTCGGTTTTCCCCCTGGTGAGTGAATCTGTCTTCGAAAGTCCCAAATTGCAAGTGCGTGACTTTCAAAAGCTTGGACACTCAACTTCGTCAAGTTTTAAAAACTTGACCCTCGCGGCCCGCAATTTGGGACGCGGGCTTTAAGTCGTAGCTGGAAGTTTTTCTGAAAAGATTGTACCAATCCCAACCTCGGTGTGAGGATGGCAGCTTCACCGCTGTTACACTCCCTCCCAGTCGGTTACCGTTTTCGACCGTCGGAGGAAGAACTCGTTTTCTCGTACCTCTTAAACCGCACTTCCGGGCAGGCGTACGCTGCGCGTCCAATCCTTCAGCTGCCCGAGGTTAACGTTTTGCGGTGCGACCCGAGCAGCCTGCCCTCCGACGCGTGCTTCGACGGCGAATGGTTTTTCTTCTACCGCCCGACGCAGCACGGCTCGAAGAAAGAACGTTCCGTAAAATGCGGCGAGACGGTCGTCGGATTCTGGAAATCCACGGGAAACGACCACGCGGTGCGCCTCGGCGGGAGTAAGAGCAGCAGCAGCAACGGCCACGCGTCGCAAAAGGCCCCTTCAGACGGCGGCGTAACGGGAATGAAGAAGAAATTAGTGTACTATTCGAAATCTGGGCCGAGCGACCACAAGGGATCTAAGACGGACTGGATAATGGACGAGTATCGACTAGAAGCGGAAGCCGGGAGCGAGCTCACGGCGTTGGTGTTGTGCCGTGTCTTCATCAAGGGTAATGTCGCCCCGCCAAACGCGCCGCGTAACTCGCCGTTAATCGCGCCGTCTTCGCCGAACGTGGGCGCCGCGACGGTCTCACGACCGATGTCGCCCGCACCGTCGCTGACGCTCGGCGCCTTCGCAGAGCATGTTACTATGGCGAAGGGACAAGATCTGACGGAAGACTACGATGCTGTTAACAGTGTGATTCAAGCGAAGCAAATGCCTGCACGAGGCGCGGCGGCTTCTGCTGCGGCGATGGGTGGCGGCGACGCGGAGCGGTTCGTCGATCTTCTTCTCGCGAAAGACGAGGTTGCGAGTGGCACGACCGGTGGTGATAATAACGGATTTGCTGATGACGAGGAGCGCATGCTGCTAAACACGATGATGGACGCGATTATAATCGGTGACGGGGATCGGTCCGACAAATCTGGAAGCGACGATGTGACTGCTTCGGTGCAGCTTGTATCGGAGGCTTTTGTCGACTCCTCAGTGGAAAATTCGGGAAGGTTCGTCTCGGGGAGCGGCGCTTGCGCGACAGATGCGGAGGAGAGCGGGAGATTCGGAGGATTCCAGTCGCAGCACGGCAGCAACACGGACCTACCTGGTGTTTGCAACGGTAACAGCAGCAGCGCGTTCAATAAATTATCGTTGGCGAGCTATGAAAATGTAACCATGGCTGAGTCTCAGTGCGCTCCGGCAGTTGCAGGAACCTGGAAAGTTCCTCGCAGTCCTCAAATGGTTTCCACTGACACTGTCGGCCCAAATGCTGGCGTAAATGGCGGCGCAACTGGCGGCGCCATTGGCGGCGCGTGCGCTGGTGCTGTCGCCACGCCATCACTCGCCTCGGGATTCGCGGCGGCGGATCTTGAGCAGCCTATGTATCTGCAAGGGGATGATGACGTCACCATCAAGGTCCCGGAGCATCCTAGCCAACGACATGGCTACACGTGGATGCACAAAGTTCTAGACTCGGCTGATATCTTCACGCCACATGTCGGTTCCGAAAACGGCTCGCCTGCAGACAAAAGCTCTGCAGAAAAGTCGGGAGTCGGGATTCACGGAGAGGGTAAAGGGAAGAGCGGATCGCCTAATGGGGACGGGGGTTTTAAAGACATGTTTTCTGACATGTTCAGCGCGTTGACTCCTAGGGGGCTATCCTTCGGTAAGGGATTCACACCTAAGGCGTTCACGCCCATGGGATTCACTCCCAAGGGAACTACGCCGAAGGGTGGCTCTGGTTACCCGTTTGCGACACCTAAAGCATTTTCGCCGGGTGTCGGACTGTGGCGGTTTCCGTCAATGACGAGGAATGGGAAGAAGCGGCCTGCGGTAACTCCAAGAAGCGAGTCCCGATTGGCGGAGGACCGCTTTGGTGAGGGTGAAGCAGTGAGTTTGTGCCAGCTGTGCATCAATCAGCCGCTGATGGTTCAGGTGATCATAATGAAGGGCTTCAGTTCTGTTGAATGATTGAGGAAGTGTGCACTAGCTGTGCAACTGTAGAGTGAATTCGGGACCTTAGTAATACGTGCCCTTTGGGCTAATACGGTTTTGTTTATTGAAACCTTTTCTTTTAAATCACGCTGTATGCATTGCTTCATTTCTGGACATATATATGCCATAGTAGATAGAAAGTAATAGGAGCATTCATTTCTGTATGAACAATTTCTGACATAAATTACACAAATGAGCTGAGAAAGTTCAGCAGCACCACCACCACTCATAACCTAACGAGCCTTTCAGACAGTTCAGGGTTATCTGCAGTCCTTAGTCATGTGCTGGACACATCCATGTTACATGAATTTATACACACGGAAGCACATGCATACATACAACGATACAAGCACTCATAAATTCAACCACCCCACTAACCTCCTTCCTCCCCTGGACATTCCTCCTCACTTGCGCTTCCTCCGATCCCCTAAGAGAGTCTTCACTGTTTCCGTTAGTAGCTTGCTGTCTATCGGCTTAGTAAGGTAACCATCCATGCCGGCATCTAGGCACTTGTGGTGGTCCCCTGCCATCGCATTGGCTGTCAGTGCCACCACCGGAATGTGCACCTCTGCACCCCTCTCCACCTCTCTGATTGCCCGCGTTGCTGCGTACCCGTCCAACACAGGCATCTGCGGTGGGTGGGGGGGAAGTGGGGGCAGGTGGGCGGCAGGTGGGCAGCAGGTGGGCAGCAGGTGGGTGGTAGGTGGGCGGCAGGTGGGCGGCAGGTGGTTATGGGTGTGATGGCCAGGAGAATACATTGGGGAAGGTGGATGAGGAAGGTGGGAAGGAGAGAGAGTGTGATGTCTATGAGCGCACACACACACAGCGACTCGCATGACCCCATCCTCATAAGCCAATGTGCGCACGCATGGAACGGAAGGTTCCCCTTTCCAACCACCTGCCAGTGCACGCATCCCTCCAACGCACCACCTTCCACCACCGCCCCGCCACTACTGTCCCCCCCCCCCCCCCCCCCCCCCCCCCCCCCCCCCCCTCCCCTCCCCCCTTTTCCCCCACGCGCCTGCCCCTTCGCTTTCACCGACGCACCTGGCAGTCCATGAGCACAAGGTCAAACACCTCTCCCCCCCTCCACCTCAACCACCACATACAGTCAATCACCTGGCAATGCATACTCCCTTCCCCCTCCCCTTCCACAACCCTTTCTCACCCCCGCAAAAGACGCACCTGACAATCCATGAGCACGAGGTCAAACGCCTCTCCACCCTCCGCCTCCCCTCGGACCTGCCTCGTCACCGCATCCAACGCCTCCTGACCGTTGCTCACCGCCACCACCGTCGCGCCCATCTTCTTCAGCATCAGCACCGCCACGCGCTGCAGCATCGCCACGTCCTCCGCCAATAGGATGTGCACACCTGGCAGGAGCGAGGGGTGACGTGGCGGGCGGCGGGGGGTATGAGGCATGGATTCACACATTGAGTGCCCGTTGGGTAGTAAGAGCCTGGTAGTGTGAGTATGTCGGACAATGGCCCTGATGCACTCACAAACATAACACGCACACACACGCAAACGCACGGGCCCAGCACGGCCTTCTGGTGGGACGATGCACCCGACGCACTCGCACCCAAAACACACATTCATGCATGCACACACGTACACACGCACTCACTCACTCACTCACTCACTCACTCACTCACTCACTCACTCACTCACTCACTCACTCACTCACTCACTCACTCACTCACTCACTCACTCACTCACTCACGCACTCACTCACTCACTCACGCACTAACTCACGCACTCACTCACTCACGCACTCACGCCCGCACCTGCGAGAGCTGACGGCGGGCCCAGCACGGCCTTCTGGTGGGCCGATAAACTTTTGCACTTGCACACAAGACACATGCGCACTTACGCACGCACCAACGGGCGCACGCAGTCACTTCTGAAATTTCTTAAAACTGACTCACCTGCCAGAGCTGACGGCGGGCCCAGAATGGCCTTCCAGTGGGACGATAAACTTTTGCACTTGCACACAAGACACATGCGCACTTACGCACGCACCAACGGGCGCACGCAGTCACTTCTGAAATTTCTTAAAACTGACTCACCTGCCAGAGCTGACGGCGGGCCCAGAACGGCCTTCTGGTGGGCCGATGCTCCTGACGCACCCGCACCCCCTCCACCCCTCTCCCTGCTTCTGCTGCCACTGCCGCTGCCGCTCCGCTTGGCACGAGAGGAAGAAGAAGAGGAGGAGGAGGCACGATGCGACTGCGAGTGAGACTGCGAGTGAGACTGCGAGTGAGACTGAGAGTGAGACTGCGAGTGAGACTGCGAGTGAGACTGCGAGTGAGACTGCGAGTGCTTGCGAGGGGAGAAGAGCGAGTCGATGGCCGGCAAGAGCCGTCCGCTAGCAGAGCGATCCATGGAGGGAGAGGAGGATGAGGAGAGAGACGAGGGCGAGCGTGGCGAGATGAGTGAAAGCGATGCCACCGAGTCCTTTCGGAAGGATCCGCGCCGCTGCTCCTCCTGCCCGCCCGCTTTGCCCCCGTCTTGAGACCCGCGGGATTCCGAGCGAGGGAACGGCACGAGAAGGTTCCGGGGCGTTCTGGGCGTGATTGCCCCTCCAGCCGCTCTTGTGTCCTCACCGTATCTGTCGCTATCACCCTCCTGACAATACTCCTCGGAACCCTCCTTCCTCCTTTGCGAACGGTACTGGCTGTCCCTTCTCTCTCCTCTTTCTCCTCTTTCCCCTCTTTCTCTCCTCTCTCCTCTTTCCCCTCGCTCCCCTCTTTCTCTCCTCTCTCCTCTTTCCCCTCTCTCCCATCTCTCATCACTTTCTCCTTTCTCTCCTCTACCTCCTCTTTCCCCATCACCATCACTCTCATCATCACCACTATTGCTCGGTCTGTCCCTCCCTTCCCTCTCGTCCCTCCTGTCCCTCCCCTCCCTCCTGTCTCGCCCCTCCCGCCTGTCCCTCCCTTCTCTCCCATCCCACGCCCCGTCACCAGACCTTGGGGTAGTGAGGTCGAATTCAGAACTCCCAACAGGGGTGGAGAGGCAAGAGTCCTCCCCATTGCTCATCTCGTCTGCGTGACTCAACTCCTCATCCACCGCACTCAAACACCTCTGAATCCTCACATTCACATTTATACTCTTGCGCCCCTTACCCTCCTTCCCTCCTCCCTTCCCTCCTCCCGCCCCTCCTCCCTTCTCCCTCCCTCTCTCCCTCCCCTTCTCCTTCCCCAACTCGTCCAGAACTCCCCACACCCCTCCTCCTCCACCTCCCTCACTCCCCCCACCATCCCCCTCTCCCTCCCCATCCCCCCCTCTCTCCTCCCCTTCCTCTCCCCCCCGCTCCGCTCCCACACCCCCCTCCGCATTCCCCCCAATCCCATACTTAATATCCATAGCCAGATTCAACAACTGCTCCATCCTAGTAGGATGCAGGGGCTTAGACACAATAGTATCGCACCCGGCCGCTCTCAACCGCTCACGCACAGAGGCAGGCGTGTTGGCAGCTACCAACCACATGACAGGAAGAGAGCTATTACCCCCACCCGCCCTGCAGATATCCAATAGTGCTAGCAGCTCATTCAGTGGGCCTAGATCCGCCTCTGCTCCTGCCCCTGCACCCCCCCCTGCCCCCGCTCCCCCTGCTGCTGTTCCGCCTGCTCCACTCCCCCCTCCTCCACCTCCTCCGCCGCCTCCCACCCCTCCTGCCCCTCCCACCCCTGTCGGTGCAGCAGAAGCTGTTCCTAAAGCCTCTGCTTGGCCTGCTGCTGCCGAAGCAGCCGTGGCAGCGGCAGCAGCAGCAGCAGACGACGGCAGGGGCGGTGGGTTCTGAGCGGACCAATCACCAGGCTGCTTGTTATCCGACGGTAACGGTAACGTCAGACCCGGAAGCATGCAGGTATCCACTACAATGAGCGCTACAGTAGCCTGTTTCTGCCCATGATTGCTATTATCACCATTATTAATATTAATATTATTATTATCGTCACCGTCGCTGTTCGTGCTCGAAAACCCGCTGCTTTTCCGGTCATTGCGCACAAACGCATTCGAGAAAAGCCCTTCCATGCTGCTCTGCCGCCACACGCTCGTGCTACTACTACTCCCGCTGCCGCCGCTGCCACCCATACCCCCTCCCGCACCAGAGCTGGCATCACTGCCCCCACTGCCCCGCCGAAACACCTTCCCGAGGGTCAGACTCCCTTGCTTCCACAGCCCACCACCGGCAGCGGCCCCCCCTGCTCCTCCCCCTCCTAGAACCTTCTTGTCAGACTGCAAACTCACTGTCCTTTCCAATCCTCTCTTCGCCCCCCCTCCTGCTGCTCCTCCTGCTCCCCCTCCTGCTCCACCTCCCTCCATCCCTCCCCCTGCCTCTCCTCCACCCCCTATTCCTTCCTTGGCTAAACCACTCCTGCCAGGCGCCTCCCATCCGCCCACCCCCACCCCTCCGGCATCCTTCCCTCCCCCTGCCCCTCCATCTGCCCCTGCCCCTCCCCCTGCTCCGCTAAAGAGTGCTCCGATTCGCTCCAGGCTGCTCTGTCTCCTGTGCCCGCTGCTCACACTGGCTATACGCGCTAACCGCAGGGGCGAGCTGCCTGCACTGCGAATCCCACCCACACTGCTGCCGCTGCTGCTGCTGCCCTTCTCCCCCGCTGCTCCTCCCCCTCCTGTTGCCTCGCCTGCTGCTGTTGCTCCTCCTCCTGCTGCTGCCTCTACAGAAGCCACTCCTGGGATCCTTCCTCCTGCCTCCGCCCCTGCTCCTGATATCTCGCTCCCTAACCCATTCCTCGTGCCATCACCACTCCCTCCCGCCCCCCCCCACTCCTCCTCCTCCTCCTCCTCCACCTCCCCCATTTCCACCTCCCCCGCTACCTGCCGACAGCAGAGACCCGGCACTGCCACCAGCATCCCTCAGGCCTAGCGACAGAATACCCTTCGTGAAGCTTTCCAGATCCACCCCTCCTCCACCCATCAACCCTCCGCCTCCCCCCCCTCCCCCCAAACCCCCCCCCAACGCTCCCCCTAATCCAACCCCTCCCCCGAGCGCCACCCCCAGACTGGTTTGCCTGCGCAGTCCCCCCCCCAACCCTCCTCCCCCTCCCCCTCCCCCTGCCCCCAGTCCCCCGACCCTTGGCCAGGGCGCCGCCGAACCTGGCCCCGAACCTTCCTTCCCTGCTTCTCCCGAACCTGCTGCCGCTGCTGGCGGATCTCCGAACCTTTGCAGGGCGGCAAAAGCATCGGCAGAGCTTAGGGGCTGGGCGGCAGTGGAGTCAGAATTAGGGTTAGGGTTAGGGTTAGGGTTAGCGTTGGGGAAGGATGGGAGGAGCAGAAACGGGTCGTCCATTCGCATTCGCTCGTATGCTGCCTCCGTTGCCCTCGCCTTCGCCTCCGCTGCTGTTGCTACCTGCGTTGGGAGAGGAGAGGGAGACGGGGAAGGAAGGGAGAAGAGTTGGAGATTAGGAAGGGAAGGGATGAAACACACAAGGGCCCAAGGAGTCGTCCATTCTAGTGGAATGATACACTGTAGTAAGTCGATTTTTGAGTCGACTCAAGAATGATACACTGCCTCTGCTGCTCAAGCCCTCTCCTCCGCTGCAGCTACTGCTCCACCACAGCCACCCATTCCATTCTCTCATTGAATATAATTTCAACAGAAAACCAGCAGACTTGGATCAAGCACCCACCTGGCGAATGCGGTCCACCATCTCGTCCCACGCGCCCACCTCCACCACCGTCAGCCCTCGCTGCCTCAACCATTTCCCCGCCACCTCCCTCCCCGGGCACGCCCCCATCACCACCAGCACGTCTCCGTCCCACAGCGCGCGCATCAGAGGCGCCTCCAGGCGCCAGCTCTCCTTCTCCTGCTCCTCTGCCTCCCCGCCTGCCTGCTTCGCTGCTGCTGCGGGGTCAGGGCGGTCGAGGGAGAGGTTGAAGCGGAAGAGGGACCCGGGGCCGGGCGTGGGCTTGTCCACTACAGCAATCTTTCCCCCCATCATCTCCACCTGCGAGGAGGAGAGTGGGAGAAAGCAAAGGGACCGATGGGAGGAAAGGGAGGGAGATGGGAGAGACACGGACGGAGGAGAGCGAGAGGTTGAAGCGGGAGAGCGAGCTGGGGCCGACAGTGGGCTTGTCCACCACGGCTATCTTGCCGCCCATCATCTCCACCTGCGAGGAAAAGGGGGAGCGAGAGGGAGGAGAGGGAGAGGTTGAAGCAGAACAGGGAGCCGGGGCCGGGCGTGGGCTTGTCCACTACAGCTATCTTGCCGCCCATCATCTCCACCTGCGAGGGAACGAAGGGAGAGGGAATGGAGAGACGGGGGAGAGAAAGAGGAGAGGGAGAGGTTGAAGCGGAACAGGGAGCCGGGGTCGGGCGTGGGCTTGTCCACCACGGCTATCTTGCCCCCCGTCATCTCCACCTGCGAGGAGGGAGGGCAGGGACATCGGAGAGGCATGAGGGAGGGGCCAGGTTGAAGCTAATGGCCAGATTGCCTCAGGCCCCAGGCCCCAGGCCCGTGCCAATCCGCCATTGTGCCTGGTCTGGTCCCCCTCTCTTCTGCAACGGAAACCAGCATACAGGCCCTAACCGTAACACCAAACCCCAACACCAAACTCTGACACCAAACCCAAAAACAAATCCCAACACCAAACCTCAATATCTAACCCCAACACTGAACACTAACACCAAATCCCACTCCGACAGCAAACCCCAACACCAAACTCTGACACCAAACCCAAAAACAAATCCCAACACCAAACCTCAATATCTAACCCTAACACTGAACACTAACACCAAATCCCACTCCGACAGCAAACCCCAACACCAAACTCTGACACCAAACCCCACATCAGATCCCAACACCAAACCTCAATATCTAACCCTAACACTGAACACTAACACCAAACTCCAACACCGAACCGAACCCTGACACCAAACCTCAACACCCAGCCCCAACACCAAACCCTGAGCCCTAAGATCTAACCTCACCAGCGATCGCACGATTGCCAAGCCCAGCCCCGTGCCGATCCGCCCGTGCGCTTGGTCCACCTCCCCGTACGCAAGCACACAACACAAGTCCGGAACCCTAATGCAAAACCCCAACACCAAACCCTGAACCCTAGACCCAGGTCTCACCAGCGATCGCACGATTGCCAAGCCCAGACCCGTGCCGATCCGCCCGTGCGCCTGGTCTGCCTGCCCATACGTCTCAAAGATAGCCTCCCGCTTGTCCTTGGGCACTCCACACCCCGTATCCTCCAACTCAAACACTAGCTCCACCTTCCCCTTCCCCCTCTCCTTCTCCTCCCCGCCACCCCCTTCCCCTCCCCCGTGCTGACTCCCCTCCATCACCCCCGACCCTCCCCCTTGCAGCGCCGCCCGCTCCCCCTCCGCCCATCCCAGCTGCCCGGGCTGCTGCTGCTGCCCGTGCAACTGCCCGTGCTGCTGCTGCTGCTGCTGTTGGCCGTGGGCGGCGCGGTTCCAGGCGCGGATGACGATGTGGCCGTTGGGGGTGAACTTGATGGAGTTGGAGAGCAGGTTGTTGAACACCTGCCGCACGCGGTGCGGGTCGCCCCTCACCATGCGTGTCAGATCGTCCGACAGGTCTAGAGAAATCTCCGTGCTCTTGGTTAAAGCCTGGAACGGGGGGACAGGGGGATGAGGAGGACAAGGGGCAGGAGGGGAGGAGGACAGAGAGGAACGAGGCCAGGGGTGGCTTGACATGGCACCATGTGCGTCAGATCGTCGCCAGGTCAAGAGAAATCTCCATGCCCTTGGTTAAAGCCTGGGACAGGGGAGAGGGGGGCAGGAGGGGAGAGCAGGTTGCTGAACACCTGCCGCACGCGGTGCGGGTCGCCCCTCCAGCCATGCGCGTCAAATCGCCCGACAGGTCCAGGGAGATCTCCGTGCCCTTGGCTAAAGCCTGGGGAGCAGGAAAAGGGGACAAGGGGCGGGAGGGCAGGAGGGAAGGGGATGGCTTGACGTGGCATGGCAGCATGCGAATAACATCGTCCATTGGATCAGAAGAGATCTCCGTGACTTTGGTTAAAGCCTGGGGAGCAGGAGGAGGGGACAAGGGGCAGGAGGGCAGGAGGGAAGGGGATGGCTTGACGTGGCATGGCAGCATTCGAATAACATCGTCCATTGGATCAGAAGAGATCTCCGTGACTTTGTTAAAGCCCTAAGAGTTTTCTCACCTGCCCTGAAAATATCTCACCCTGAAAATATCTCACCTGCCCTGAAAATGTCTCACCTGCACTGAAAATATTTCCACGATGAGTTCGAGGTCTTTTCGGATGTCAAAGTCAACACACTCCAACACCAGCTTGCCTGCTTCCACCTGCTCGCACCCCACAGTGTACACATAGTCACAAACAGAGAGAGAGTCACATAGTCACAGTCACATATCTCTCAACAAACAGGCCTAAGTCAACACACTCCTGCACCAGCTTGCTTGCTTCCACCCGCTCTCACACAATATATACACACCCCCTCCCCTCCACTCAAGTTGGTTCGAGAATTCTCAACACACATACACACAAAGTCATTATCTCTCAGCCAACAGGCCAAAGTCAACACACTCTAGCATCAGCCTACCTGCTTCCACCAGTATGCCACAAACATGGGGTGGTGAGCAGTGAGCCATGGCAGGCTGGGTGAGCAAACATAGAGCAGTGAGCAAAGAATCACACACGCGCATACACACATGCACATGCACACATGCACACATGCACATGCACATACACGTGCACAGACACATGCACATGCACATACACGTGCACAGACACATGCACATGCACATACACGTGCACAGACACATGCACAGACACATACCAGCGGCACAGCACTGACTTTGCTAAGATTGAGGAGACCCAGTAGGGCAGTGGCGGCGAGCTTGATCTGCTGCACGTTCACATGCACCTCGGGCAGCAGGTCCTCACACATGCAATGCAACACCAGGTGCACTGCAGCCCTGCTCTGACCAGAGTCGCTTCCAAGAAAGGCAGAACATCAGCACTGACCTTGCTGAGGTCGAGGATGGAATTGAGGAGCCCCAGCAGGGCCGTTGCAGCCAGTTTGATTTGCTGCACGTTCACATGCACCTCGGGCAGCAGGTCCTCACACAACACCAGGTCCAGCAGGCCCAGAATAGCCGCCATGGGCGTGCGCAGCTCGTGGCTCATGCTGGCTAGGAAGGCGCTCTGAGGGGGAAGGGGGGGGGTTAGGGGCAGAGGGACGAGAGAGCAGCACTGTAGGAGGGCCAGACCATAGCAAGCCAAGCAGGCAGCAGGTCCTCGCACAAGACGAGGTCGAGCAGGCCCAGGATGGCCGCCATGGGTGTGCGCAGCTCGTGACTCATGCTGGCTAGGAAGGTGCTCTGAGGGAGAATGGGGGGAGGAGGGCACGGGGGAAGGGGGGGGGCATGGAGAGAGAGAGGGGCAGAGGCACAGAGGGATGAGAGAGTAGCAGTCCAGCCGGCTGGCACAGACCAAACCATACCAAGCAGAGCAGGCAGCAGGTCCTCACACAACACCAGGTCCAGCAGGCCCAGGATGGCCGCCATGGGTGTGCGCAGCTCGTGACTCATGCTGGCTAGGAAGGCGCTCTGAGGGAAAGACAAGGGGAAAGGGGACGGGGGGGAGGAAATGTGAAAATGGGGAAGGGGTTGTTATAACGGGGGGAATGGGCAGGGCGTGGCACCCTTTACCCACTTCCTCCCCTCTGTCCCCTTCCCCCTCCCCTTTCCTCAGGCAGGATTACAGGGCGGAAAAGGAGGGCGCGCCACACTTGGCGGAACCAAGCAGGGCAGATAAATCAAGGAAAACGCGAGAAACTCTGAAGGGAGGACGTTTTGAGGGAGGAAAGTAGAGGAGGGGAGGTAGGTAGGGAGGTGGTAGAATGTGGGAGCATCATCACATGGAATAATGTCGATTTCTTTCTCCCGACACGAGCGCAGAAGTAAGAAACACGAGTGCTACTTGCAACATATCATTACCCCCACCATCAGCAGCAACATTCGCCCCCACCACCGTCCCCACCAACCATCGTTACCAGCACCATTTGGCACCATTGTTACCTTGGTCTGGGACCTCGTTTCCGCCCTCTTGGTGAGCATCATCTGCCTCTGCACCTCGTCCTGCCATCATATCACAGAGAAGGGGGCATGGGAGAGAGGGCAAGCGACAAATGGCAAGTGAGACAGGAAGGAATTGTGGGCCTCAGCATCGGCCTCTGGGACCTCGTTTCCACCCTCTTGGTGAGCATCATCTGCCTCTGCACCTCGTCCTGCCATCATATCACAGAGAAGAAGGCGTGGGAGAGAGGGCGTGGGAGAGAGGGGACGGGAGAGAGGGCACGGGAGAGAGGGCGTGAAAGAGAGAGGGTGTGAAAGAGAGTGCGCAGGAGAGAGGGCGCGGGACAGAGGGCGCGGGAGAGAGGGCGTGTGGGATAGAGAGGCTGTGGGATAAATTCTTAGGCGCCTCATAAATCGTCCTCTAGGTGAGATTCATCTGCCTCTGCACCTCGTCCTGCCGTTAGAGCACAGAGGAGAGGGCGTGGGAGAGAGGGCGTGGCATGAGGGAAAGCGACAAATGGCAAGTGAGACGGGAAACAACGGTGACCCTCAGCATGCAGACTGACAAACAAAGGGACCAGCGGCACACAGCACAGTGTGGCTGCTTTCACTCAGCGGTGCTCAGGTGAGCAGAGCAGTGAGGGAAAGAGGCAGGGGGAAGCCTGATCTTCACCGCACTTCACCCCTACTCACACCTATCCATCTAGACACCAACCAACCTGCAGGAAGGTCACGTTGCCGCTGCGCCTGCGAACGGCCGAGACAAGACAAGCAGCAGCGCACAGGCAAAGAGAGAAGCGAGGGAGAGCAGCAGAGAAGCCCGACCTTTATCGTTATTAGTCTCTCTTTGTACCTTTTCAAACCGCACTTCACCCTTCCCCTGGTTGCTAACCTGCAGGAAAGACACGTTGCCGCTGCGCTTGCGTACAGCCGAGATGAGCAGCAGCGCACAGGCGAGCAGAGCAGCGATGGAGAGCAGCAGCAGCACGAGAGACACAATTTTTGTGGAGGTTGGGGGCGGTGTCTCATACAGGGTCACTGCTGATGCATACACGATGGTCTGCCGGGAAGGAGGGGAGGGATGGGGCGGGATGGGTAGGGGTGGGGAAGGGTGGGGAGGGGTAGGGGGGGAGACCCTTGTGGAGGTTGGTGGCGGTGTCTCATACAGGGCCACTGCTGATGCATGCACGGTGGTGTGCAATGGGAGAGCGGGGGAGGCGAGTGGGGGAGGGGAGGGTGAGAGGGACGCGAGGTGCACACACCAGTTTAGATGTAACGGGGGAGAGAGGGGAATGGCGAGGGAGAGCAGAAGCATGCGGAAACGGGTTTTGGGGGAGGCGGGGGGGGAGGGAGAGAGCTCCAGGGCATGTGGTGGACTCACGTAATTGGCAGCAGTGCTGAAGACAAGAGGAAGAGAGTCAACGTAGTACTCCTGGCCGACGATATTTGTCTGTAGCGATCTCATTACACTCCCTAACGCTGCTGCAGACGAGTTCACCAGAGCTGCTTCGACCACAGGCACTGCTGACTCAGCAGGTTTGCCTAACCCTAACGCAGACATTGCTGACGTCACTATGACGTCATTGGGTGCTAAGGGCCCACCCGCTGCACCAGAAGAGGACAACACAAGCCCTCCAGTGGCTGAAACAAGCAGCAGACGTGAAGGAAGCTTCTGGGTTTCTTCAGGACTGGCTGGCCTGCTGCCAGAGTTGATGCTGATGCCAGCCCATGCTGCTGCCACGTCAGCAAGGGAGACAGCTGCCAGGCTAGCGCCGACTGACGTGGCACTTGCTGAGCTGGCAGTACCACCCAAAAAAACGGGAGAGAGAGCTGCTAAAAAGGCCAACGGCCACTCAGGAGGGGGAGGTTCATCTGGGGACGGGCAATTAGCAGGGAGTACTGTACTAAAAGTGTCTATAAAGGAGCCAGCTTGTAACGAGAGAGAAGCACTGTAGCCTGGTACAGTGCGCAGGTCAGGTAGCATGGCTGTATTCACTACAGACTGATTCACTAACGAACCGTTTAGAAAAGACCCCTCTAGAACATAAGGCAAAAGCATGCAAGGAGAAGGTGGGACTGCTGCAACTGTTACTGCTGCTGCCGAGGCTGAAACTGACGTTTGGCCTGAGCCTGGGACGGCGCTGGACCTGCTACTATGGCTGCTGCGGACGGTGCCTCTACTCTGGGTTGAGACGGCAGCAGCAGCCAATGCAGCACTGGTCTGCTCTGCTGCAGCGTTGCCTGGTCCCTTACTACCAGCAGAGCTTCTCGCCCCTTGCGGTCTATGAAACTCGGAATGGTGCGGTGCGGTGGAGATGGCAGACGAGACAGCAAGCCGTCTCGAAGGCACCCCAGTCGGGGCGTTGGAGAGGGTAAGTGTGGGGTCAGAGACAGTCACAGTTGGAGGGTTGCTGTTGCTGCTTCCCAAGATCCGTTCCGCCCCAAGGCCTGGGCTGGTTCCCACAGCAGCATCTGGAGGAGCGAGGGGCAGGTTGGGTGGGGATCGGATGCGGTACAGAGGAGCAGCAACGAGGCTGTTGCTGCTGTTGGTGATACCACTGCCCATGCTGTTGCTTCTATCACTATCACTGCTGCTGCTGCTGCTGCTGCCGTCACTACTGAAAGAGAGCCCTTGCGAGGGGCGCAGGTAGCCGGTGAGAGTGCCGTCCGGGGCAACGAAAGCAGTGATGTGGAGAGATGGGTCGGGGCGAATGAAGGGGAAGGACGTGGCTAGCAAGGCCTGCGGTGGTAAGGGGGGAGGCGGAGGGGAGGGGATGGGGAGAGAGGAAGAGGGGCACGTGGTTGGAAGGAGTGGGGACTATGGGGGAATGTGTGTGTGTGTGGAGAACAGGAAAGGTGAGTGTTGGGGGGGGGAGGGAGGGGAGGAGCGAAGAAGGAGGGCTGGCTTCAAAGGGGTTTGTGCTGCGTGGAGGAAATTCAGGTTTTGAGCAAAAAGATTGTCCACAGAAACGTTAATGGCACAAACAAATCAAAATCGCACCTCCTGGGAATGTGCTAGAAGACTTGTTAGGTTGTTGCTGTTGCTTTGTCTACCAGTGCTGACATTGCTTCTGGCCATGGAGTTGAGAGCCGACGTCAGCGCCAAGGCCTGCGCCACTGCTGCGTATTGCAGCCTCTGGGGGAATGGGGGAAGAGGGGGGGGGTGGGGGAGGGGGGAAGGACGAGAAGGGGTGGAAGGGGGAAAAAGGGGGGAGGGGGGAAAACGGGGGAAAGGGGGAAAGGGAGGCAAAGAAGGCACACAGGGACGAGGGGATGGATGGAGTTGCAGAGGGGCAGAGGGGCAGAGGGGCAGAGGGGCAGAGGGGCAGAGGGGCAGAGGGGCAGAGGGGCAGAGGGGCAGAGGGATCCCAATCAGGGCAACGAACAGGTTGAGGGCACAGAGCAAGGATTCCCAAAGGAGGAAGGGTCGATGTGACGAGGAGTGGAAGCGCGAGGATGTGGGGGAAGGAGGGATGGGGGGGAGGAGGAATGGCGGGGGAAGGGATGGGGGAGGAGAAGGGGTTTTTATGGATGTGAGGGGCATGAGAGGAGCAATACCAAGAAAGTTAGGCAAATGACCTTACGGTAGGAGAGGAGCAATACGGTTTTGTCTTGTCACCTGTTGGATAGAGAGAACGGCAAGGCGTTAAGTGCGCAGGCGGACAGGGAGGGAGTGGGAGAGCGGCTACCGAGGTTCCAGGCTAGGACGCATACTGTGCGGACTTACCTGTTGGATGGAAAGGACGGCGAGCGCGGCGGCGTCTAGGCGTTGCGCGCGCAGGTGGAGGGGGAGGGAGTTCGCAGGGGGCTGCATGGCGGAAATGAACGCCCAGCACAGCACCGCCAGCAGCACCAGCGCGGAAAACGCTGCAGCCTGTGGCGCGGACGGATTGAATGCGTGCAAGGGGTCGCAAGGGTGAGGGGGGGGGAGGTGGAGTAGGGAGGATGAGGATGCGAACGGTTGGAATTATCCCCCTTTAAAGGTTGAACTCGGAGCATTCTAAACAATTCGCGCTTTTGTGAAACCCTAGAAACTAAGGAGCCACCTGGCCGCACAGCGTTTCGCAGCGCTGCTGAATGCCCCTTCCACGCATCCCTCACGGGCAAACTATGAGGTGCGAAATACCGTGCTGCCTGTTCCGCCAAGCCCGATACGCTGCCATGCTGTGAATCACTGGTGAGCCGCGTTGCCACTTGTCGAAATTGACGACAATCTCGCTGTTTGCCACTACAATGGCTATACGCGACGCCATGCCATGCCATGTCATCCCGTCACTGCTTGGACCCATTGCGGACTAAGGGCGACTGCTACGACGGCCCCAAGTACGACAGGCTCAGTCTCGAACCACGGCGCGACAGGTACCTGACGTGGCACAGAACTCGAAATCGCGTTCGCTGACTGACCTAGGTCTCGTGCACGTGTTTTTTCTGAATCACCAAAATATAATGTAATTTCTAGGAGCTCTCAAGCCGACTGAGCTAATCACCAGACGAAGCGGCTGTGCATGGCGACAGGTGACACAAGAGTGGCAAGAGGCTGAGAGTGAAGACCGAATGCCCGCGATCGATTCACGCGTTGGCAATTTAAGCGTTTAGAGTTACTAGGTATCATGATCATGCGACAGCTCTGCGGGACCAAGTGCACAGGAAACGGAACGGACCAATATCGCGTATGTGGTCCACTTGACGGGTTTTGCGGCCATGATCATCTGTAGGTTCTCCTCGTGCCGCCGCCGTTCCTCCTCCTCCCTCTCCTCCTCCTCCATCTCTCCAAGCTCAAGGTCCTCCTCGCTTAGCCGCATCGGTCGGCAATACCAAGGCAGGTACCGCCGTCTGTACGCGTGCCGCTTCTCCGTGTAGGATTCCATGATATATATTGAAGCGAGTTAGTGGTGTATAATGCCTATTAAATTATGCGGTCAGGAGTAACTATCGAACGGAGTCGCATTTAATCACAGAGGCAGTATTTGAGGCTAATGTATTGAGAATGGTAGGTGGAACTTATTTAGTTGCGACAGTGCTCTGTCCGTATTTGCCATGACCGACTCGAAACGCCTACCTGTGCGTTCCTCGCACTCTCGCAATAGAAGCCGACCTTAGCAGCGACGAGGCGATCAAATAGCGCGAACATAATTATTTATATAGAAACGAATCCTAGAATCAAATCCGTACTCTCTCATTGGCTCTCAGTTCAAGAGAATGCCTTTGTCAGAAAAGCCCACTCTCATGGAGCCTCCGTCATTTCAGCGACAAGTTCCCTTCTAGCAGACTGATGAGAGTTAATGGCTGTCATGTTGTCCGTCTCACACGGCTTCCGTTCCGTTCTGTCCGTACTTGAAGCTTCTTCTGCTTCTGGTCTTCGCCAATTCAAACAATCAGTCTCTAGTAACAATTCGTTTTGTCGCAGGCTCCCACATTTAGGGTCGTGAAGACTGATGCCCTTCAGCGAAATGTCGCACTCACTCATGCGACAGCTTCATTTGCCGGACCTCGGTGTGAGACTGGCTACTTTGACGTTCACGAAACCGTTCACGAACTCCGCCATGCCACCACCGGCCCCACCATTTTGTGCCTAACGGTCAGGATGACCTGCGACTGCGAGTGGTCTTCGCACCGAACCGTACTGTAACGCAGCCATGTCGTGAAACGCACTTGTTCCTTGTGGTGCAGACAGCGCCACACAGACACGGACGGTTCGGTGGGTCCGAGCGCGTGGCGTTTCGTTTCTTCCTGCTGCACTGTTGCTCGGCACCGTCAGCTCGTACCAACCGCACGTTATCGTGGATGCAATTCTGCATGAAAACTGACCGTGCGATGGAGGTGTGACTGAGATACAATACGACGACCACACTTCTCTCTGGGATGGGATGGGAAGCTGCTGCTGCTGCTGCTGCTGCTGCTGCTGCTGACCTCGTCACGCAAGCACTGTACAGTGAGGTGGTTTCGTACAGTTCTGTCTTTGGTTGGTGGTGGTGTGCAAGTGCAAGAGGCAGCACAGCACAGCAAACGGCGGCACACAACGGAGACAGAAATAATCCAGGTACACCCTCTTTCTCAACCTTTTCACCTAGCGCGACTCGTTGCTACAGTACTTGTCTCATGCGGTCAGGTGCCATGTAAGGAAAATCCCTTTTCCTTACTTCGCGTCCCTGCTCAGCGCGTACACCACTGTTCCCGCCAGCAGCACCCAACAGTAATCCGTTACCACTCGCGACACTCGCTTCGACACCATTCCCGCCACCGTTCACGACGCGACCCAACCTCATGGTTCGGTTGGTAACTCGCGCTCCGGACCTCCGCCTCGACATCTCCCAACCTCGGCACTAGGCCCGTCGCGCACCCCACTTTTCACACATTACCGTTACCACTGTAGTTTCGCTATATATTCTTCGCTCATGCCTTCGCTCATTGTACTTTTTTGCTTCGATAGTGCAATTCTCGCTCGCTCACTCAATTGCACTCGTAACACTTGGTATTCAGAGCCTACGATCTCCTCTCGGACCGCACCCACACCTTCGCTTCCCCACTATCTCATTTTTTGGGGGGGGTAGACGTCTCTCAGCGAACAAAGCACCGCCGCTCGAAGTGCTCTCTCGTAAAGCACGCACGGCCACGACAGAGGCTCCCGCTGAGTTTGCCCGACACCCCCGCCATGGCCGAAACTAATATTGCGACATTGACGCAGGAGCAGCTCGACCGCCTCGTGCGTCAACTCGAAGATTCGGCACTCGAAATCGCGACACTCACGGCGGAACGTGACTCCGCCCGCCAGCAATCAACGGTGAATGCACCAGCTCCATCACAAGCACCCGCAAATGCACCTGCGCTATCAGAAGAACCGATCGTCATCTCATCAGGCACACCGACGCAAAACGACAGCGTGGGACAGCGCTCAGGCGCATCCAGTGATGGCGCCGCTCAATCGATGCCTGGCATGGAGAGAAATCGGGCCGCGCCAAGCCCGCGTGGGCCTCGCGAAGCTCGTCGGCACGTGGAGTTTGCAGCAACAAGTGGCAGCCACGACATCATGGCACCAATGCCACTCAAGCCGCAGTGCCCGCCCTGTTTCGATCCGAGCCAACGTGGAGGTCCGACAGTTCAGTCGTGGGTCTTCACGATGAACGTTTTTTTCGACGCAAATTACGTCGAGTCGGACGCAGCGAAGATTCGCTACGCTGTTTCGCTGCTGAGGGGCCCCGCCATGGACTGGTGGCGAGTCATCGTGACGTCGCCACGCGCCTACGAGCCACCGTCGCAAGAGGAAGGGCCCACGGGTCCAGCCGTCACCTGGAGTTCATTCTGCGAAACAGCCCAATACAGCACGTGGGATGCGTGGTGCGCAGGGCTTCGGGCGCGCTTCGAGCCGATCGCGGCTTCTATTTCGGCGCGTCAGAAACTGCGTACTCGGCAGCAGCTCGGGTCGGTTCAAGACTACACAAGTGGTTTTCTCGCACTATGCGAGCAAGTCGGCTACATGCACGAAGCGGAGCGGGTGGACCGTTACGTCGGAGGGTTGAAGCCGGACATCTCGCACGAAATCATGCTACGCGGACTCTTGAATTTCAACGAGATTCTCGCGCTCGCCGAGAAAATCGACATTTTGCGCCGTCCGAGACCGGGGTCCTACTACGGACAACGTCCTCGGGGACCGGCCGAGCACGCCACTGTACACGCCATTGCAGCGAATGCAGCTGCTGCGCCATTTAAGGGGCGCTGCTTTGCTTGCAATAGGCCGGGCCATCGTAAGAGCGAATGTCCAGAGGAGCTGAGACGCCGCGGAGCAGAGCAGGGGAGGGAGTCTCCACGGCAGGGAAACGCCAGCAGTCAGTACGGATCGGGCCAACTACTGACGAGACTGCCTGCTCGCCCAACCACATCGACCCTCACCGAGTCACAGTACCGATTCACGCTATCGATCGGGCTCGGATGAATAAGGAGGGTACAGCGACGGCTTGCCCAGTACTGATTCACGGGAAAATACAGGGAGCAGCAGTGAAGATCTTTATAGACGGAGGAGCAAGCCACAGCTTAGTTAATACCGCAACCGCACGGAAGCTGCGACTGGCACTTAGTCGGTGTTTACCGGAAATAGACGCACGCTTAGTTGACGGGACGCCGCTGGCCATACGGGAAAAGGTGGAGAAAGTAAAAGTCCGCTGCGGGGGGAACTTTGGGTTTACACAGGAAATGCTCGCGACGACATTTGATGGGCATGACATTTTACTGGGACGTGATTGGCTGCGACGGTATAACCCGCGAATCGACTGGACGACGGGTAGCTGCACTGTGCGAAGTAGCGGTAACTGGGTCGTGCTACCTCGCTGGCAGTCGCCCGAGTCTTCAACGGTCCACGTCAACGCCATCACGATGAAACGGGCTGTCGCCGCTGGAGCTGACGTGTACGCAGTGGATATAGCATTGGTAGGAGAAGCAGAGCAGCTGAGCGATTTTCAGAAACTGTTGGCAGCGGTACCGCCCGAACTACAGGAACTGTTGAAACGGTACCCGGGGATTTTTCCAGACGATTTACCAGAAGGACTGCCACCTCAGCGGGCACATGACCTCCGCATAGAGTTAGAACCGGGGGCACAGCCAACTGTACAGCGACAATTCCGACTGACACAGCCAGAGCTCGACGAACTGAGGAAGCAGTTAGATTACCTGTTAGAGAAAAAATTCATCCGACCGAGCTCGTCACCGTTCGCCGCACTGATACTGTTCACACCGAAAAAAGACGGGGGTTTTCGCATGTGTATCGACTACAGAGCACTGAACAGGGTAACAGTCAAGTCGCGTTACCCCATTCCCCACGCCGACGAGCTGATAGATCAACTGCGAACAGCACGGGTCTTTTCGAAAATTGACTTACGCGGGGGTTACCACCAGATTTGGGTCGAACCATCGGACTGCGTAAAAACAGCATTTAGAACTAGGTATGGGTCATTCGAGTACACCGTGATGCCATTCGGGCTGACCAACGCACCGGCGACTTTTCAGATGACCATGAACGAGGCGTTTAGGCCGCTCTTAGATAAATGCGTGATAGTTTACCTCGACGACATCCTCGTTTACAGTCGGGATAAGCAGCAGCACTTAGCAGATCTGGAAGCAGTATTTAAGGTTTTAGACGAGCACAGATTACTGACCAAGGGTTCCAAGTGCGAGTTCTTCCAGGATAGGTTAGAATTTTTGGGGCACGTTATTTCGGAGGCTGGAGTTGAAATCGACCCAAAGAAGCTGGACACGGTAAAAGCGTGGCACCCCCCGACGAACATCACGGAGCTGCAGAGCTTTTTAGGGTTCGTTAATTATGTGCGTCGGTTCGTCCCCGATATGGCACGGTTAACTGCCCCACTAACGGATTTACTGCGGAAGGGGGTCACTTTTACGTGGGGGGAGAAAGAGCATGCTGCCTTCTCTGCCCTGAAACATGTTCTCTGCTCACCGCCCGTACTGCGCATCGCTGACCCACACCGCCCATTCGAAGTAGTTACAGACGCAAGCGACATCGCCATTGGAGCCGTACTGCTACAGGATTTCGGCAACGGTTTACAGCCCATCGCATACGAGTCACGAAAACTGCATCCGCCCGAGAAGAATTACCCGATACATGACCGCGAAATGCTCGCGATCGTGCATGCATTCAAGGTTTGGCGCTGTTACTTGACCGGCGCAGACGTGACAGTACGGACAGATCATAAATCATTACAGTATCTCCGCGCACAGCCCCACCTCAACCCACGACAGATTCGCTGGCTCGATTTCCTCGAGTCAAACTTCCACTACACAGTCACCTACAAAA